CCATGATGCTATGTCACAATTTTCATGAAAATATTTTTTCGTAGCTGTGGGCATAATTAGCACAGTTTGTTTTTGTCACATTTAGGTAGCCGGAATCGTGGCATTCTACATTGTGACAAAAGGTCAACATCCCTTTGGAGAAGAACGATTCCGACTTGACAACTTACTTAAAGGTAAACCAGTTGGCTTGGATACTCTGAAAGATCCTGTCTTGAAAGATTTGTTATCCTGGATGCTGAGCCACGACCCCAAAGATAGACCGTCTGCTGAAGAAGCACTGAAACACCCTTATCTTGTGCCCGCGAAACAGCAGTTTGAAATGTTGTGCAAAATGGGAAACCAGCCTGAGATCAAGACATGGGATGTCAAATCAGATGTCGTGCGAATGTTGAATAGCGATCCAAAAGATTGGAGATCTCTGATGACTGCCGATGTTCTGAAGTATTTAAGCACTGGTCCTTTGAAGGGGAAAACATTTCATTATAAGCCGTCGTGGACGGACTGCTTGCGACTTATCCGAAATGTCAAGGAACACTGGCAGGACCGTCCAATGCCGCAACCAGAACTATTCTATTTAGTGGGTGATCCACAAGAGTACTTCCTTCACCTTTTCCCCAATCTTCCTGTCGAGGTTCACAGAATTGTGAGGTCATGTGATTGGAAAGAACGACCTGACCTTAGGGAATACTTCATGTAAGATAAGAGAAGTTGTTTCGGACGGGATAATCACTGATCTGAAAATTAGCACTGGACAGCGCATCCGCTGTCTATATATGAAGCAATTAATGGCGGCCATATTGATGTGACCATCACAAACCTATAGTGGTGCGGTTGACATGTTAGAAGAGGTTCCAATGTTTTCTAGTACTAGTTATAATTGTTATTTCTTTTTTTAAATTTGAATGAATAACTAATAATCAGGCCAATATATGGCTGACATGTGTCTCACTAACTCAGTTTAGCATAATTTCAGTTTCGAAAAATGGCCTTTCAGCATTCCGATTGGCTCTCTCAGCAGTAACTCTGAGGCAATAGTTACTGTTCAGACTGCTCTGAGCAGTAACTATTGCTTTTCCCAAAAATGGCTGTAAATCAGACAGAAGTATATTATTTATGCAAATTATATTCGCAAAAATACTAAACACGTGTATTAATTGTATTTATAAATAAAACTTTTTCATTGCTGAAAAAACAATAAGTCGCCTCAGGCTCGTTGATTACAAGCCTATATTGACTTCGTCTTCGGCTCAGTGAATATAGGTCAAAATGTATTTAAAACTTTCTAAAACTCTTTATAACTATAACTTAATTCTACTGTCATTATATAAAGTTTATTTGCATTGTAAGGACGTTATGCATGTTATACTTCAATTTGAATTAATGTTAGTGTGTTATACTTTAGGTTTAGATTTAGTTTTATATCTTTTTAATAGTTTTAGACCACGGCCCTTTGAAAAACAGGCAACTGAAAGGCTACCGTGGATAAATATGTTTAAATAATAATAATAATAATAAATTATGTTTGCCTTAATTATTTGTTATAACTGACATTATTTCACTAACTTCAATCAGGATAATGTTTATATTGTTAATTAATGTAATCTACAATAATTATATGACCTCATTAGCCATTAAAATTACTCAGTTGTGGAATTTAGCACGCAATAATAACATTTTACTGAAATCACATTAAAACTGATGTTGATTTTATAAATTAGTCTACTCTTTCTAGTTATGAACTTGAAGTGACAAAATTGCTTCATTGTTGACAATATAAATTACATGAATTGCATAATTCTTTGTGAAAAAAAGTTTAGAACTCTTATAGATTACTGATTTAAACTTGACGACATACAACATATATATGTGGTATGTTGACAAATACAGGGCCGCCGAGAGGGGGGCAGGAGGGAGTGAATTGCCCCGGGCTCCCACCTTAATAGGGCTCCAACTTGAGAACAAGAGCCTAAAATTCGGTAGGTTTTTAAATTGGTCGGAGCATTTTTGAAATTGAGGGCCCCTTAAGTAGCTTCACATGCAGTCTAGTTAAGGTCTAGTTGGATGACTGACTTGGGTCTAGCTTGAATAATGATGTCATGGGCCACCCAGAGACGATTTGCCCGGGTCCCATGAATTCTCTCGGCCGCTCTGGACATATATTTCCTGTGCACACGGTTTTATTTCGATGCACGACCTCCCAAGATCTTGCTTGAAGTTTTTTTTAGAAAGTCATGATCATAAGCGTACGATGTGGGAGGAGCAGCTGCCTTCCTTCCCATACGCCAACGTGACGTCATAGTAAGGATAAATTGAATGTCAAAAATTGTTAAATATCTCAAGGACGAAGCAAGCTGCAGTAAGAGAGTTTGGCAAAGTATCGGTTTGATATCGTTACCTTGCAATCATAAAAAAGGTTTTAAATTTCGTCGCGTCCCTTTGAACTATAATTACTTTGATAGTTTCTTGTATACGGTCATGTGCCGAAGTAGACTTTTATTTATTCATTGTTTAATCCGCTGTAATATAAGTAGCGATAAACAATTATAGAGTCCTGGCAAAATTTATTGTGGATAACGTATGCGCGCCCGTAAACAGACATACCTATACTGCAGGAAAAAAGCACGGAAATATACGTCACACAAACTTCCAATCACTATTCAGCACGTGTTATGTATTTGTTAAATAAATTATTGTTGTCTAAACTGTTCTCGCTAAATGTGCAGTAGGGCCAGATCTATTGAGTCAGTCCAGAGTTACTACAGGAGGAAACCTACACTAAACTAACCTTCCTGATATTAGATTATTCAATGAAGTTTGAACTGTTCTCCCAAGAAGTCCAGTAAGTCCCTTATTGATCCAGTTTTACTGCTGAAAGCATTGTTTTCCAAAGCAGCTAAGGCCATGGCTGTTTTAGACGTTGAATTTCCATTGAATTTAATTCGTTGGGTTTAACTTTAATTTCGACGGATTTTTGGCAATTTATGCGAAGAAACACGTCGAATACTTTGACAAAATTGCACATAATTATAATGTGCTGCATAAAAACGTCCATTTCTCTGGAATAAAAAAATTGGCTTGAGTTAGCTTTAAAGAAACTGACACGGAAATTCAACGTCAGGTTATATACTGAAGAATGCACGGTCGCAAATTATTGCCGGTGACACTACCATGTAACATCAAAATTTATTTTCACTTACAATATATCAAATTGCACTATTACGATATCGTATTTCCAAGACAGACACATTTTGAATTGCACTCCTGGTCATAAACATACTTTCAACCAAAACATACTTTCAACCAAAACACAACCAATAAAACCATGTCTAAATACCAAATTGCCACAAGTGACCAAAACTTTGCTTAAAATCCAGTTCTTGCAAGCGAAGTCAGGTTAATAGACAACGTTGATGAACTTTTCCGTTCCCAGTAGTGTCAGAACCGCATCATATCGTCAATTTGTGTCCAAATCTTGACCATGAACGCTTACACAATTTTCTAAGCTGGCAATTCTCCATTCTAATGTCAACGTGCTCAGCGTATAAATTCCTGAAGCGTAGCTATATATGTCCCAGGCGAAAGAGAGAGTTTAAAATAATCGCTGTTCGGGCCATATTGTCGCAGTAAACTTTCCCCAACACATGTTTGGAAGGATAAAATGAAAGAATTCGACGTGATGGTCATTTCCGTTTTAATGTAAGGCGTTTTGTTGAAGAATATCGACACGGATTTCTTGATGCAGTAGGACGATTAATGACTAGAAATGCAAATGTAATTGAAAACGTTTAAGTTGTTTGTGCAAAGAAATGGTGTTTTACATAATTTACTCTAACAATAATGTCATCCAGCCACAATCCAATGGCCAGAAAGTTTTATTGTCTTTTAATTCATACGATTAGAAGCTATTTTAAATTCCCAGGAATAGAAAATCTTGTACTTAACCCGACTTAAGGCTATAGTTTCCACTCAGGAAAATTATCCGTGGATTGGAACGGACAAAGAAATTAAATATTTCTTGGTCTTGTGAGCTCTGGGTTGGAACTAATGACTTTAACACAAAGAAAAATTTCCTTGTCCGTTCCAATCCACGGATAATTTTCCTGAGTGGAAATTAGCCTTGAACAAGACTAGGTATACACACACACCAAGGGGTTACGCCCCTGATAGCGATTTTAAAAGACAGTATAAAGTAGATTTACTGTCAAATCAAAATAGTAACCCTTAGGCGCCGTTTATATTGTCTCGGGTACCAGGAACACCCTACGCGGGGAATACTCCGTTTTTTGTTCGAAATACTTGTATACGTTGAAATAAAGTTTCTATTGAGCATGCGTAAGTCTGAAAATTTGCCCCTGGAGGCCGAGGCAAATCAACGCAAACTGTTTACATGGATAAAAGTTGTCCCTCCTACACACAGCAAAAAATCATTTTTTTATTAAGAAAAAAATTTCTTAATTTAAGAAAAAAATCTTAAAATAAGAAAATAAATTTCTTAATAAGAAAAAATTTTCTTGAAATAAGAAATTTTTGAATCCCAAGGTATCTTTTTCTTAAGATAAGAAAAATTTTTCTTAATAAGAAAACATTTTCTTAAATAAGAAAATTTTTCTTATAATTTCTTATAGTTAACGCGAAAGCATTTTCTTAAGAAAATACGATTTTCTTACTTTAAGAATATGTTTGTAAGAATATGTTTGTAATATAGACAAGAAATGAAATTCTTAAAATACAAAAATATAAAATAGTAAGACATTATTACTTAAAATTTTCGAAGCAAGAAAATGTAAAATGCTAGTGTTTATATAATGCATGAGTCAATTCCTGGAGTAACCATCCCCCCCCCGGGACACCCCCGGGCATTTGCCCGATAGACAGTTCACGGGGGTCGGGAATTTGCCTTTCATATATGTGCACGGGGGCCGGGTATTGGAGGACCCCGGGGATTTGACAAATGGTTGCCCAGAATCCCACCCACAAATTTTAAGGCAGCAAAACATAGTTCAGGCAAGCATGTGGGCGCGCTGATCGTGTTTTGCGCCCTCGTGGTCAAGGTGGCGTGAAATTTATTGTAAGAATAAGCGAAAATTATACCCTCTGCCATGCAAATTTAAATACAACTATTAAAGGTTTATGTTTTATAATATTCCATAGCAGTTTAATACTATAATGTTATTAAATGACTATGATTATATGCCATTAAAAGTTTAATTAACGTTTACAGTCGATTTCACGAAACTTTGACCACAAATTTCCGAACTTCGTTGCGAAGTTCACAAGATTGTTGCGAAGTTCAAAAGTTCATAATGAGATTCACAAACCAGTTCGTAAACTACGCATTTGATTGGCTTATTTTACTTCACGGATCAATCAGGGACTTTGTTTACAAATTGGCTTGTGAATTCCAATATGAGCTTCCGAACTTCACAACGAACTTGCGAACTTCGCAACGAAATTCGGAACATTTGTGGTCAAAGTTTCGTGAAATCGACTGTAAAATCGTCCCCGGGGTGGGGCATTTTCCACTCTCAGCTTGCCCAGGGGCCGTGCATTAGTCTTCAAGTTGTGTCCCGGCACCCGGGCATTTACACTGTCATAACCAATCTAATCAAATTCCCGGGTGTGTTCCCGGGGGGGGGATGGTTACTCCTGGAATTGACTCATGCATAAGGACAACTTATATCTTAACAAAACTTAGAACAACGTATATCATATTGCGTCAGGTAAATTTGTAGTTTCGAATTGAAGAAACTATATGACCGGCAGCTCACGGTTGATCAAACACTAAATGGCCGGCAGTACATTGACTATATAGTTAAAGTTGAATCTTCAGTATAAGATAGATAAACCGATCCCCAATCCCAAACCCTTCTCTAACCCTAACCCCTAACCCTTTGATAATTAGACCGGCTGCCGGTAATATAGTCACTTTGTTTTTATTTCGTTTCCAAAATTTGAGCTCGTTTCAGTTTTATTGAATCGTTGAAGAGAATTTTTGCCCTCCGGAATTTTTATCCAAGCAGGAATAGTTCGCCATAGTTCGCGTATTTACTAAATGCCTGGTACCTAGTTTACCTTTTAGAACGCGGAGCATCGCGGCACAGTTTAATGATATTCAGTTGTGTAACTCGCGGCCGTCAGTATTGATTATGACGTCCCCAAGAATCGAATGCTCGCGTCATTTTTGTCGCGTCACGAAATCGCGAAAGACCGTGTCGCTTGCAGATTTCAATACAAAAACATAAGGGAAACAGCATTCGAACGGTGAAATATGCTAATTTTATAAAGTTTGTGTACTTGATGGAGGTTTTGGGGTTAAAATTTTGCAAGCCAATGGTAAGTGTTTTATATAACATGTATTATTGTTTCATATCAAATTTCTTTCGTTAGAAATTGCAAATCAAATACTGACCAAGTGTAAATACCACGAGGCTCGGAGGCTGTCATAGCTGCTGCATAAAATTTCGAAACTGATTATCAACTAAACAAACTGGCATGTAAATGTCTTGTTTCTCATTTTATTAATAACAAAGTCATGGTTTGAATATGTAAACCATTCTCCATTTTAAGGTTAACATGCAGTAATATAAATGTTCAAATCTCAATACAGTTCCGTCACTCAACGCAATCCAAGACTGTCTGTCGGTCAACAATATTGAAATATTAAATTCAACATAATTCATTTTCATTTAGTTTTCATAAGTGCTGAATCTTGATATACTTTCTGTTTTTTTCTTTTTCCTGTCTTTCTTGCTCTTAATTCTTGGTTGTTGAACTTTAAAATGCAATGCAAACGCATTTTTACAAATAACTCAATGAGGTACATGCTTGGGAAATAAGAACACTCTGATACACAAAACATTGGCAATTTTGCAATTATGTGCTCTGCAATTTTTGATCTTTGGATATAACAACTAAGTTAATCAACAACTTTGCTCTCTATTTTAGTGACATACTGAATAAATTCTTCTTGAGGACCAGTCAGTCCTCCAGAGTCAGTGCTCTTGTTTTCATAAGCTTTAAAATACCACAGTAGCTGGCTGCTGTTGGTCAGGGTAAGCTTATGTGCACAAGTAAGGCATTTCTGTTTGTCCAGGCATTTTTGCAGTAGGTATCCTGCAACATATGTCAGTGCATTCATGGACATTAAATTCTTCTCAACTTCCTCATGCTTGTAGTCTTTCTCATCCATTACAGGTCCTTTCTTGGTGTTCTTTTGAGTACCTGGACAAGGCTGACAAGCTGGTCACCAGAAATGTGTCTGAATCAGCAGCAGTGGCATAACTACTATGGGCTCGGACCGGGCGAACCCGTCAGCCCCCAACCCCAATGGGCCAAATGGGGCCCCCCCAGGCTCAGGCTGTAGAGCAAAAACATTGGCCAGGGTTTCTGATATGTTAGAATGTCGTTTTCTGACCATCAGAAGTCTGTAAAATCTCTCCCCAAAGTCTGGGAAATGATTAATTTATATTTATATTACTGTTCAGAAATCTAATTGGTTAAAATATTTTTTGCAGGAGATCCTTTGAAGAAGAAGTCGTGGTGTAATACCTGTAACTTAATCATCATCATTAACTGAATTTGAAGACTCTGTACTTGAATCATTTAAAGGATTAGTGTCAGGGTCATGACATGCATTGTGGGCTTTTGTTATTGTTTACATATTACTCAATACATCAAATAGTGATAAAATACTTGTTTGGTACATTTCTCATAAAAATCAGACAAAAAGAGCAAGGATTTATTTATAAAAGGATGGTTTAAATATATGATGGATTGTAAACACTTTCCAGATGACCAAATCTATTCGTCCCGAAAAATGGCCGCCGGCATGAGTTTGAGCCCGCAAATTCTTAAAGGAATGTTGATGGTCACAGTGGTAGTACTAGTTGATGGAACTGGACCATAAACCTCCGACTGTAAGCCCTGGGCTTATATTATTTC